TCCTGGTTTATCCCCCCCAGTTCCTGGTTTACCCCCTAGTTCCTGGTTTGCCCCAGTTTTCCTGGTTTGCCCCCAGTTCCTGGTTTACCCCCCAGTTTCTGGATTACTCCCGGTTCCTGGATTACCCCCGGTTCCTGGATTATCCCCGGTTCCTGGATTATCCCCAGTTGGTTTACCACCCGGCCCAGTTCCCCCTGGTTTTAACTGCCCATGTCTGTCCCCGGCCGGTCTCACTGTTGGAACCGCGGCGCTGGGCTGTGTGTGGGGGGCGGGCCACACGGCGCCAGGCGCTCTATAAAGGCAGCGGCGGGAGGGACTGTGGCGGAGCTCAGTCCGTGCTCTGGGCGCCTGTGGCCGTGGCCGAGTAGATCATTCCCCGGGAGCAGACAAGATCGCCCAGCCTTTCCGTGCTGCTGCAAACACTCCTCCCTTACCCCAACCCTGTCACTGTCTGTTCAAGCTACCAGCAGCAGTTGTTGTGTGAACATTGACGGTAAGTCTGAACGCCTGAGCCATTCCCCAGTCACTGTAAGTGCAGGGCGGCACCAGTGTGTATAGCTCTGGCTCCTTCAACTGCTGGGATTTCTGTTTTCGCCCTGACCAGGGGTCAGTAACCTGTCTGTATACTGGCACTGCCTGCTCCTCAGGCTGCAACACCAACAGTTTCTACTGAATGGACCCCTTGAGTTGTCCCCACATCATAAATCTCTCATAGACCCATCCTGGAATTTGTCAGCTTTAACATAAACAATCAAGTATTTTGTGCTTCGGCTGTCTGGACGTCGAGATATACCAGAGTCCTGGTTTTCTCCAATACAACACCAGGGATACACTTTATCTCCCCAAGACTGGCCCATTCGCTCTTGTAATGTAATAAACTAAGGCGTCAAGTTCCTTAACCTACAGCAGAAGTTGCTGGAAAAGCTCAGCAGGTCTGGCAGCATACGTGAAAAAAAAAATCAGAACTGAGGAAGAAACGTTAACTGCTTTGTTTTTTTGGCTTCACAGATGCTGCCAGACCTGCTGAGCTTTTCCAGCAACTTCTGTTTTTGTTCCTGATTTACAGCATCCGCAGTTCTTTCGGTTTTTATTTAGTCTTTAACCTACACTCTTCGTCTTTGCAGCTTCGAGCAAGCCCGGGATTTGAAGTGCCTTGGAGTTAATCTCGGAGTATTATTTTGCCATGAAGTGTTCCGAGTTGGGATGGATAAGACTCAGTGCTTCCCTAATCATTGCACAAACAGTTGCAATGATGAGCCCCAATGTTACTTCTGAATTGGATGTAACGTTGGCTCCACTGGAGGACAACACTGAAGAGTTTTTTGCAACTGAAACAGTCACTCAAGTGAACAACAACTTTACAGATGGTTTGGATTCAATTATGAGGAAATATTTGGATCAAAATGAACAGAGAACATCCAGAAGGGCCAAGAGATCTATCACAGATATAGACAGACAAGTAATCTTAGATCTTCATAATAAACTGAGGGGTCAAGTCTCACCAAGTGCCTCTAATATGGAATATATGGTAAGTGTTTATGTTTCTGCTTGAAAGCATCATAAAACCTTAATTCAGAAACAAAAAGTAAAATAATTTTGCCTGTTAGAAGTTAGGAACAATTTTGTTATTATTCAACTTCCATTAAAGGTTTCCAGAGTACAAACAAGATCTCACCTTCTGTTAAAGTTGATAATTCAATGTTTGTTTTCATATTGACATTAATGGTCAATTTGTTTTGTTTCTGATTTTTTTCTTTGGAAGTAAAATAGGAAAAAAATCAATCACATTTCTTAGAAGGAAGGGCCACTGACTTTCATGGTATTTAATTGTCATCTTGTTTTTGCAACTGTGCATTTGGAAGGAACAATCAGTGATAACATCAATAAGTCATTAGACCAGAGTCCTTCTGTATTTCAGCAAAACAAAAATCTTGACAGGAAATGCTCAAATTTACAGTTCTGGGATATTAACCATGTTCTGCTAAGTAAAATAAAATTTGCCCTCCAGTCTCAGTGCCAAATTGCTCTGTATGAATAAAATCTTACACACAATTACATAAGGTATCCAAGACAGAAATGTACTGGTTGATCCAAAAAATGTTTATACTCCATATGAGTCTCCTCCCATCTTTCCTTATTTGGATTTACTATTCATGTAACTTGTCCCTCAGATGCTTGTCCAGCTTCCCCTTAAATGCACATGGACAACCCACTTCAAACATCTCCTGTGCTAGTGACTTCGATGTAATTACCGACCTTTGGGTAAAGAGGCTGCTTCTGAATTCCCTTTTTGATTACAGGTTCATTACGTTACATCCGTGACCTCAAGTTATGCTGCTCCCCACGTGTGGAAACATTCTGCTTGTGTCTACTTTATCAAAACCTTTCCAAATCTTCAGGACCGCTCATAGGTCACTCCTTGTCCTTTTTATTTAAGAGAAGAGAGACTCATCCTTTCACACCTGATCTGTGCATCTACTCATTTCTGGTATCATACTTGGAAATCTTCTCTGCATCTTCTCCTGTCTCTCTCTGTATACTTTTGAATAATATGGCAGTCAGAATTGCAAACAGTACTGTGAGTGCGATTGAACCTAAGTTTGATATAAGTTTAGGAAAACACACATCAGATTTCAATTTCATACATTTTCAAATAAAGCCTAATGCTTTGTTTGCTTTTCCTTTAATGGCTGTGCTAACTCATTGAATCCCTACAGTGTGGAAACAGGCCATTCAGCCCATCAAGTCCACACCACCCCTCTGAAGAGCATCCCACCCAGACTTACCCCATCCCTGTATTTCCCATGGCTAACCCAACTAGCCTGCAATTCCCAGAGACTATGGCAAATTCACGGATTGTGGGAGGAAACTGGAGCACCTGGAGGAAACCCACACAGACACAGGGAGAATGTGCAAACTCCACACAGGCAGTTACCTGAGGGTGGAATTGAACCCAGGTTCCTGCCGCTGTGAAGCAGCAGGGCTAACCACTGAGCTACTGTGCTGCCCCTTGTGGTGTACATTTTGGCGACTGGTATATTTGTACTCCAAGATCTCTTTGCTCCGCTCCCCAACTTGAGTTGTACCTTTCAAATTAGCAAATGGACTCTCCATTTTGCTTCCTGAAACGTATTTTCTCACACTTCTGGGTTGTACTTCATTTTCCAATTTACCTTGCTCTCTGCTTTGGAACAGATTAAAAAAAAGATAACTTAGAACTGGAGTATTTCATTTCAGAAACATTTGGCAGCATTTTTGGCCGCTGTGGTTGATTTGGACTGCAGGCAAGGGTGTAAAATCGGGCATAATACCACAGGAAACATTTGTGGTCCCCACACCCCAGTCCCGGTTCCCCCACCCCCAAAACACACCCCATCGGAATGGGGTAGCAGTCAAGGATCCTTCTTGCCATTGGATGACTTGAGTTCCGAAATTGTCTACTAAACAGGCAGATAAAGGCCATCTGCTGCCTTGCCGTAATTTTTCTCATGACGGCGGTGCTCAGTGGGAAGCCCAGGAGCGCTAGCTCTTTCTATTGATGGTGGGCAAGAAGAGGAGAGTATCCCCTTTGCCAGCCTCCATGCCTCCCATGGTCTTCTCCCTTGGCCTGGAGTATTCCCCTCCACTTAACTGTCCATCTTAATGTTCTATCCTCTGCCCCCTCTCACCAAGGCATACTAGCCTGGACTGTCAAAACCACACCTCTTCCTATTCCCACACTTACCTCTCCTTCTAGGTCCGATGAAGATCTCTGTTGGGAACTAGATGCAGTCCCAGTAGTGGCCTGGTCAAACTGTTCAGGCAGAGAGCAGCTGGGCATTTGATAGGTTGGCAGTTCTTGGAGGGGGAGGGCAGTTTTCTTCCTCATTAATATTCTGACGAGTGTCAATTGGTTGCATGACAACCCACTGCAATGGGGTGATCTTGCCTCTGAATTTACTTTGAGGGTGCGGGAGACTCCTAGCGCAGTGTAAAATTCTGCCCATTGTTCCTGAAGCCAAATCCGTTCATTTTGCGAAATAGATTGTGTGCTGATAAAATAATTTATCACCATTTTTAATTAAGAAACAACCTGAATTTCTCTCATCAAAGCTGTTGGAGCAAATCAGTTACACATTGACCTGCTTTTGCTATTTTAGTTGGAAATACAGTGTGGCTTAGTAGAGGTAGGTGTGTGTGTGTGTGTGTTCGTATGTGTACGTGTGTTAGTGTGTGTGTGTACGTGTGTGTTTGTGTGTTCGTATGTGTACCTGTGTACACATAAATCCATGTGCAACAAGCATGCAAGAGGAACCATGTGAATTAATGGAGACATTAATTAATTTTAAATGGTAGGCTAACACATGTGTTGAAGTATCAGCCAGAAGAACTATTGAGCAAGTTAACACATTTGATGCAAATACCATGCAACATGGTTTCATCAAGTAAAGCTTCTTGCAGAGTTTTAGAACTATTGTAGGACTTCATTGATGACTAGTCCTGAAAAAGTTTTGCAGTAGAATTTCCTTTGCCTTTGGAAACTCTGAGAGCAGCTACCTGTGTGTTGCAGTCTAACATAGGAATGACATTTTTACTTTCCATGAAGAATGAACAGCATTAACAACAGCACCTGTCATTTCCTCAGTAATATGGCAAACTTTGCAAAATTCTACTGTGCAAAGAGAGCAGCAGCAGAGAAAGAAGGTCTTAAGTTAGTGTTTCTTTCTCATGTTGACATTTTGTTGGTGGGTGTGCAGGTGAGAGCAAGAAAATAAATAGCCATGTATGCATATAAATAATTTTCAGTTTGTAATATCATGCAATTGCCACCAATAAAAATACTTTTTCAGTTTGTATTTTTAGGCCTGATACTCGTGTTGACTATTATCCTTGTGTGTTCATAAAGTAAACACACACATTGTACTGCTGCTAGACCAGGTTGGGCTAACTTTCTATATTAATACCTAGCCAACTTGGATGCCTTTTTTAGCTATGGATTTTTAAACTGTTTCTTCTTCCAGTTTCCAATTAAATATTTAACCTTCTTAATATTAGCCCGCAATCCAACGTACATGACCTAGGTTTCAGTAATTTGTATGAATTCTCATTTCGCCTGTGTAAAGGTAACTTGAATCAACTACAAGAGAACAGATATCCTGAAACAACTGAAATGAAACACTTCATGTTTGGGTAACTAGGCTTTCTGGTAGTTGTTTTTCATCACCAGCTTTCTTTAATTTATTTAAATATGAAGTATATTTATATGCAGAAAACAAATGCCGAAAGTTTCACACACTTGGTTAAATTACTGAAAACCACAACAAACTTAGGAACAGCCATTCTTGTTGTGGGCCTTAAACTGCTTATTGGTTATTCATGTTTTGGTTTTCTATAGACATTTCATTGAAAGATTATCAAATAAAGTTGAAAGCCAGATCTTGAAAATGACAACTATCAAGCTGTTATACAGTTCCACCTGTTTCCTACTCTCTAATAAAATATGATAAATCACAGACATGATACAATACTTTTTGTATTTTATTAAATTTATTAAGCACTGAAAAGTAAAAAGATGTAAATTTTTAAAATGTCACCATAAGAATTAATGTGAACAATAATGTGTTTGTAAGAATTATGTCAAAACGGGCATTAAATTGTTCAAGATGCAATTAAAGCTGAGTGTCAAAAGATGTACAATAATAACAGATATTCCCAGCAATGCAGGGTGTGACCTGTGTTTAGGCATAGCTTCTATTATACTATACTTTTCCAGCTTTACACCAATGCAAACCACAATTCAGGAGACTGATTCCAGAACACACTAGTGTTGTGTGCGTTCCTCCAGATGGCTGTTTTAACTTGTTTGGATTTCAATGTTTAGAAAGTAAGAAGACTGTCCATTGGATTCCTTGAGTAATTTTCTTACTTTATGGCTGAGGCTTACTTTTCAGTAGTTTATGTTGGAAGTTCCGACCTAAACTGTGCATAGTTTTCCAACTACTTAAATTGTTCATTGGAAAAACATATGTAATATTCACCCAAATTTCTGATGTGCAGACAGGACTGCTGAGGACAAGAGCATAAAGTTTTAGTTACTCCACATAAACTTTGCTGATTTCTAGTGACTCAGAATTTCCCAAAAGCTTCTGTCATCAAGTTAGCTCGTTTATATCATTAAGGATTTTCTACAAAGCAAAAATCAGAATTTAAGGTCTAATTTGTAATTACTTGTACTTGTGCAGTAATGTTTTAGTGGTATTTTGGCATTGCTTCATAGCTACTCTCACTGTGTAGAATGATTATCAGTGCTCTACTCTTTAGTTCACTTGATGAAGATTATAAATTTCTTGGAATTATGCCACTTTTCTTGATGCAGTCACTTGGATTAAACAATAATGGCATAAGCAAATGTTTTAAAGTAGAATAAAATCTTTGCTTACTTTCACGCTTTCTCATTTTCAGCTAAAATCCAAACTGCTTTTGGGAAAATATTTGTTTGATATTTCCGCTTTAAGCTCCTCTCCCAGATCAAGCAATACTCCCTAAACTCTGCACAGTTCACAATAACATTTGACGTCAGTAGCAGTCCTCTTGTACCATGGACTGATGGATGTAAAGTTCCTTTCAATGAAAAGCATTCAATTAACTGATTGGAAAGAATAAGAAGCGAAATGCATCTATACTAAGACTGTCAATGGTTTGTAAATTTGGAAGTTACAATATAATTTCCCAATTGCATTTGGTTTCACTAGTTTTTGATCAGAGCATACAAACAGTTCACTAGCTTTTTGGATTGCTTGTTTTTAACGTAAAATGAAAATTATGAATATTGAAAATATGAAATAAAGGCAGAAAAAGCTGCAAATACATAGGTTATTTTGCATAAATTATTTGTTCAAATTTATATGACATAAAGTGGTACATGAGGAAATCTCAAATTAAGAATTTACTAATGACTGTGAAATCATTGCTGATTGTCGGGAAAAACCTGTCTGGCTCACTAATGTCCTTCAGGCAATGAAGTCTGCGACCCTCACCTGGTTTGGCTTACATGTGACTCCAGACTTACAGTAATGCAGTTGACTCTCAGCTACCCTCTGAAATGGCCTAGTGAGCCAATCAATTCAAGGGCAGCTTGGGATGGGCAATAACTGCTGGCCAGCTATCGACGCCCACATCCCATTAGTGAATTAATAAAAATAATTAAACAGGATGGGCCTAAATTTGATACCCTCCGAAATAGATGTGATATTTAACTAACCCAGTTGATTAAAATGTAGGCAACATGCTGACTTCATGTTCAATTGTTGTGTGCAGTCAACATTAACCATGCTATTCATTCATTGTACACATCAGTTGGGGCCCAAAATCATACCTTCCTAGCACTTTGTAAAGCTAGCTTGCTCTGCATAAAGATAGCATGTACTCAGTAAGGGAAGTCGCATTGTTATTGATGCAGGTTATAGCAGCATGCTGAAATGATCTGATCTGGTAAACATTGAATGGTAGTGTGTGTTTTCTGACATTTTTAGACAGTGCCACTGGAGACCTTGATGGAAGAGTGAAAAGTAGGGATGAGATGTCCTGTATCCATAGTGGAGCAGGGGGTGATTCTGACAGCTGCTCCCAATGTCTTTTGAGCATATAGCTATGAAGGTCAATGCCAGAATTCTTTCCTCAGGGATCTGGATACTTGCCATAAGAATTTCAGTCACCTCACATGAGTGGTCAAGGTTAGTGATTGCATCTTCAAATACCAAATCTTACGACCAACTTCTGAAAATCTTCAATTCATGTCATCCACGTCATTCACCTACCGTTAATTTTCATCAATTGGGGCTCATCCCCACGTTCATATGCTCCGCAGCAGCCTCACACATGTACAGTACAGTTGCAATGCTTAGTCTCGCATCTGTCAGTTTCTGTACACAATGCAAGTCCAGTGCTGTAATACCAACAGATTACATAATATTCACTGACAATTTTCTGTCTTTTGCAGGACAGGACGCATTAGAGTGTAAGAGAGCATGAAATAACTGATTTCTGTACAGTAAACCTGCTACCCCACACCACAACATCACCCTTATACTCTTCTACTCAAGAAGTGCAGCTGCTCAACTGGCAGAGGAACAACTGGAAGATGTGGAAATGGCATTGGTTTGGCCCTGTTGAAGGATTAGTAACCCAGGGGACTCAATCACTGACCCAGAAAAATGAGTTTATTAGGGCAATTTGAATTCAGTTTTCTATTCATTCCAGATATGATTAGTGATTAATGATGGTGAACATCTAAGTAGTGAATTGCTGCAACAATCCATCCAGTTCACTAAGGTTCTTTAAGGAAGAAGATTTTCTTTCCTTACCTGTTCTGGTCTTTATGTGGTTGAGTCTTAACTGCTCCGTGAAATGGCTTAGCAAAGTCGTTAGTTGTCAAGGTGACTCGCTGCCATTTTCTTCAGGGGCAGTTAGGGATGGAAAATAAATGGGGCTCTTTTGAATGATGCCTAAATGCTGCAAATAAATGTAACAGGAGTGATTTCACACTCTACCAGAACAAACACTGACACTGCACAATGTTTAGGTAATTGTTTAGATCAATGCTTCCCAAATATTTTCTCAACATAGCCCAGTTTTGATGCTTGGAATTTCCTGAGACCCCAGAAGTATGAGCGGTGGGGTTTATGAGAGGGTGGAATGGCTGTGTGGTGGGGCAAGACGGGAGGAAATGTCTGTGGGGGTCAGGGTGCGGGTGGAATGCAGGTGTGGATTGGGGATAAATAGCTGTGGGGAGAGGGAGTTGCCTGTGAGAGGGGAAGAGACCTGTGAGTGCTGGAAGGGGGAATGGTTTTAAGTACAAAGCACCTACTTCCCATCAGGATGTTTTAACACCACGATTCAGCCCACGATTCCTGTTTGATTTAAAGAGGCCTCACAGTTGTCAGCAATTGGTTGGAACTCCTCAGTGGCAATTACCACACCATAGCTTGTGACCTCAAAGTTTTGGCTGGTGACCCCACTGGGGGCCATGACCCACCGTTTAGGAAATCCCGGCTTAGAAGATTTATGTACGGTGAGATTCTAGACATGAGTGGCCTGCGAGTAAGGGATGTATGAAGTTTAGCTCACCAGAGGCAGAAGCTGCATATGGTTTTGCCACAGAGGCCAGGCATTGGTGGTACAGACTTGATGGGCTGAAGGGCCTCCTCTGTATTGTAGCTTATGATTCTATGACTTAGATGATGACTTTGATTGGGTAGCCTACAAGAGAATGATGAGCCATTGAACCTCAAAGGCCAATGTCACAGGCTGGGAGCATAAACGCTGTCATCCTGAGGTAGGACGGCAGATTTGCACTCTGTGGATATATTGCCAGTTCCCAGAGGCAGTTCCTTAATAAGCCTTGTAAACTTTAGAAGACAAATTGCCGAACTGTCATGGTCCTTGCTCTCCTCTTTAAACACTGACATCGTGGTGGCAGGTCTGTCAGCTCACGTGACTACAAACTATACCTGCAGGCTTCAGGTGGCTTCTGCCTGTGTTACATTGGAAGTTGAGACATTAATCATCAGCGTTGCAACGTAGTTGGGCCTCCAAGCCGACAAACAAAGTTGACCATCCGTTCCCTGCTGGAAATGACGGACCCAAGCTCTGGTAAATAAAACAAAGAACTGCGGATGCTGGAGATTTGAAAACAAAACTGAAATTGCTGGAGAAACTCCGCATCTGTGGAGAGAAAGCAGTTAACATTTTGAATCCGATAACTCTTCCTCAGAAGTGTTATTAGCTGGCAAGATCCGGTATTTGTGCATAAACTCGATGCTCTCTCTCTCATGCTCCACTTGTGCCTGGTTTGTACCAGATTCTTTAGTTAGGATGGATAACTGACAAATGAAACAACTAGCAAAAATGCCAAACACTTGTAGAAACATCAGAAACTTCTAATTTGAATGTTTGTATATCCCTTTAAAAGAATCAACTGGCAATTAATCTGTCGGAGGCAGATGACCCCTTTTTAAATGGGGTTGATGGGAGACGGGTTGATGGGAGACTGCCGGTGAATGCATGGTCAATGGTACAGGTTTTAAAGAAGGCTCCGGTTCAAGCATTGAGCTCTAGCATGATATAGCTGGCATTAAATCAACATTGTAAATGCATTGATATGGTGATCTCCCTGCTCTACATACTGTAGTGGGAGTTAATTGACTTTGATAATATGCTGCAAAAATATGCACGAGTGTTGGAAGCCAAAAGGCACCCATGGCACCCAAATAATAGGCTGCATTGAATCCAATTTAATGCCCAAGGGTTGCTTAGAAAAACATTTGTTCATGTGTTCATATACTGGTCTAAGTCTATGAAAGTTTTGTTAACAGAGGAAGCACAGATAATTTTTCCAGGATCTGAAAGCATGGTTCAAACAGTAGATTGACCTCACTGGTAGTTTGGTCTGGGAAAAGTAAGTAGAACCGGAGTGTCTCCATGGATGAAAAATAAATAACTGCATCCCCTGAGGCAGAAAACTGATGACTGATTGAAATGCAAATGATGTGCGATCATGAATGAAGAGAGTTTGGATAGGAAACAGACACGAATCACAA